ATCAAACACTACAAAAATTGAAAAAATGAACCATGAAAAATGTGTGCTATCAAACGGGCCTAAATGATGACCTCATTATCAATTTTCTTTTACACCATACACAACCAAGCTATTACTATTTCTAATGTCCCCAACAAATACAGCATTTGGTTTTACCTCCTTAATATAATCCATATTACTCAAGCTATCATCACAATTCACAAACTACTCGAATCCTTCCACCATTCTCTTTACTCGACGGCTCCTTCTCCTTTGCTTTCCCATACTTACTATAATTCTTATTACTTGAATTACCATTACAATGTAATGAACTCAAGGCTAATCCTCTTACATTATGATATATTTTAAAAATATTTTTTTGTAGAACAGGAAGCTTGCGAAGCCAGAGCATCATTTTCATGACTCTACTGGAGTCTAATTGCTAGGGTTTCAACTTTCAATCCCTCAACCTCCTATCGAGTTTCCAAAAAGCACTTACTCTTCCCAAATCTTAACTATGCAAATCAGCGCCCAAATTGACCCTCAAGCTTCAATTTTGCCAACCAAATTATGACTGGAGATACAATAATTTGACTTAGTTTAGCAGGGAATAGATAAATTATGAGAGAAAGTTCAACCGCACAATAAAATACTAATAGATTAAACGTCTTTTATTTATCCATTTTCCCTTTAACATTCTAAACTAGCCTTTTACCACCCAATCCAACATTCTTGCAATTGTAAACTTCAAAACTTGCACCAGGTAAAATAACATCGAAAATTAAACCACATAATAATCAAAAAAATAAAAAATAAAAAACCGTCAATCACGGTTCACACAGTTCACACATATATCCAGCAGAAAATGAAAAAAACAGAGACACCCCAAATTTATGGCGAAATCTATTAAGGAAAAAACCGAACTATTTGGGAACAGAATGGCGAATATTGGAAGCACTACCGTAGGATTCTTGTTCCCAGTAACGGAATTCACAAAAGGCGAATTCTTGCTCCCAGTCAACGGAGTTCACAAAATGCGAAAGGCGAGCGGGCTGAGGAAGAGACTTTGAGACTTGTGAGAGAGAGAGAGAGAGAGAGGGAGAGAGCCGAGTCGCACTCTTGCAGAGAGCCGCGACAGAGAGGACGAAAGGTTTAAGGTTAGGTATGGATTGGATTGGACTGGGGAATTTGGGCTGAGAGGTTAGTTTCAATTTTTTATCTTGGGCTGAGTGCTAAAGCCCAATTATAAAAAGGATTTGGTTGGATTGAGCCCAAAGTCCACTCCATTGGGCTCCGCCCCTGGTCTAGAGGGTGCAACTGCCCCCACTGGATTTTGGTCCAAGGTATTTCACCTAGAGAAAAATTTACAACTCAGGTTTTATCTATCTCAAAAATCAAAAATCATGTCCCGAAGTTTAGAATTGTAAAAATCAGGTTTTTCATAAATTAATTA